TCGGTGTACCACATGTATCACATATGTCTTATTCGGTGTATCACGTGCTATAAGATAAGTACAATGAATTAGTGTCTCAGTGAATCAGTAGTATCGGTATCGGTATCGGTATCGGTATCGGTAGTATCAATGAATCAATGCAATATCAACATTCATATCGGTATCTGTGTTTAGTGACATGTACAATATGCAATATCAATGAAATCGTACAGTAACAGTAAACCCGTAAATTCGCCAGTAAATCCATTCAATATCAATAAATCAATAAATCCGTCGGTATAAATAAATGCGTACGGTAATCAATAAATCAATCAATAACAATAGATCAATTCAATATCAGTAAATCCATAAGGTAATCATAAGAATAATACTTTAAACATGCAATACAATACAATGTTCTTACTCGACATGTACAATCACTGGCTATTAAGGCATTTTTCAAGATTAGTATGTTAGTAATTCGTTGGCTCAATAGAGTCGTCACTCTTTGCCTGTCGGTTGCCCGTCCGCATAATCTCCTTATGACTCCCAATCATTATATCAATGATCAATAGAGGATAACACCAAACTTTTTTTAAAGGAAAGCCCGTCGGCACACCATCCTATACAAGTAAATCAATCTCCAACCAACAGTTTAACCAGTCTTTACTCAACAAGTAAAAGACATGGTTATTACGGTGTTTTTCAATCTTGGAATATCGCTGTATCATTGTATCCGTTGGTTCAATAGAGTCGTCACTCTCGCCCGTCGGCCGCCCGTCGGCATACTACTTATGAATCCCAATCGTTATATCGATGATCAATAGAGGATAACACCAAACCCTTTTTAAAGGAAAGCCCGTCGGCCCACCATCCTGTACAAGTAGATCAATCTCCAACCAACGGTTCAAGCAGTCTTTACTTGTCTTTCAGAATGTAATAGTAATAGATTCAATCATATGCACATTTATATAGAACAACAAATACAAATAGATCAATTATGGAGAACCCTTAAAATATCGTACAGTCGACAGAATTCCAAACATAGTTAAAATACACAGTTTTAGAAAATCACCAAATTACCAGAAATTGAATAAAACAACGTTTCAAAGCTTTACTCGTACTGAAGCAATATTTTTCAATGTCCAAATAATTTTCTATTCGATAAAAACTTTCCAGAAAATACTCAAATTGTACAAAAACATCATCTCAGAAACATACCAAAAGTTACGCGGTAAAAGTTTTGTCAATAAAAAGATATGCACGTTTTTCGGTAACGGAAACACAAAACTGAGCAGAAAAATACCAAAACTCAAAATCTTCGAAATCAGAAATAGGATTCGGAGTTCTTACTATAAGACGAACAAATCTTTTAACAGCGACGTCGAATGAAAAGCGCACCGCGAGCTTTAAAACTAAGCCTTTCCTCTCTTTTTCATTCTCTTTCTCTTTCCTACTTTTTCTCTCTCTTCAAAATATCTCAAAAAATATCTCAAATCGGATATTTATCAAGCAGGATCGTCCCGAATGAATCATATTCATCACGGGACGATTTGCCCTCTAGACAAACTTCATCTCAATGAAGTGTATTCGTTCCTGAACGACTTGCTCTCTGGACAAATTTCATCCCGACGAACCAAATTTTGTCCTGGGACGAACCTCCTCTGTCCATAAATTCTGTACTGATCGTCCCGGATGATCCCACTTCGTCCTAGACGATCCTGGAAGGAAATCGGGCTTTCACACTTAGTTCTCGCGTGAAAGACGGGATTATGCGCGAGTGCAATTACGGAAGTCTTATCACGGTAAAGCTCTGTTGGTTGATCGGAGGGAATGCCAAAATCTTCTAGGAGCCGTCGGAGGAAAATTATGTCTACCGTGAGAGCTGCCAGCGCTCTATACTCTGATTCAATGGAAGAACGAGCCACCGTTTGTTGCTTTTTAACGGTCCATGATATGAGTGTAGAGCTGAGAAATGAGCAGTAGCCGGAGGTTGATTTTCGTGAGATCGGGTCCCCTGCCCAGTCGGCGTCCGAGAAGGAGTGAAGTATGAGGTTGCTTTTCGTGATCGGTAGTCCATAATTCAGCGTTCCCTTAATGTATCTAAGCAAACGTTTGAGCAAAGTTGTATGTGATGGATGCGGCTCATGCATATGCTGAGATAGAAGGTTGATGGCGTAGGCTATGTCGAGCGAGTAATGGTCAAATACTATAGCGAGCCGGTTATACGTCGATATGTAGCAGGATATGAAAATTGGGACTCCGCCGAGTGCGGTGGTGGCATTTTGGTGCAGTTGGGATTTCCAATTGGGTTGCATTGCGTCATGTTAACCTGTTGAAGTATGGAGTAAGCATATGTGGATTGAGATAAAGAATAGCTAGTATGAGTAGATTTGATTTGTATGCCAAGAAATGAACTGGCTATACCGAGGTGTTTCATTGAAAACTTAGCATTTAGTTGATCAAGAAGTTTGGTTATCACTTCTTGATTATTACCTATAATTAAGATATCATTTACATAGAGAATTAGAAAAATGCTTACTTGATGTTGCTTGTAAATCAGTAAAGAGGAGTCGAATGTACTAAGCTGGAAGCCGAGAGAAAGTAGATGAGTGGTGAAGGTATTGTACCACTGTCGTGGGGCTTGTTTAAGGCCGTAGATGGCTTTGTTTAGCCGATATACATGATGGGGGTGAGACAAGTCTTCAAAACCTCTTGGTTGAGTCATGTGAATGATCTCTGAGAGCTCGCAGTGTAGAAATGTGTTGTCCACGTCCAACTGTTGGACTGGCCAGTTGTGGTGAACTGCAACGGTAAGTAGGATACAGATCGTAGGTAGTTTGGCCACCGGGCTAAACGTTTCATTTAATTAATACCGTATTCCTGATTGTTCCCTTGCGCTACTAATCGTGCTTTGTGCCTTGCTATGGAGCCATCAGAGTGATATTTTAGTCTGTACGTCCACCTACATCCAAGTATGTGAGTGTCGACTGGTGGAGGAACGAGAGTCCAAGTCCCTTGCTGTTGAAGGGCGAAAAATTCGTTGGCCATCGCTTTGCGCCACTCAGCATGTTTGATTGCTTCAGTGAAATTTGTAGGGACTTTATCCATCGTGGCTGCCGCTTGATGATGAATGAGATTCATTTGGATGCGAGGTTTTAATGATCCTGTTTGACACCGTGTTACCATGGAATGCCTTGTAGTGGTGTTGTTGGACTGAGCCGGTTGCAGGGGAATGCTATTAGTATTGGAGTGATGATCAAAAGGTTGAATGTTGATGAGCTGCTTGTGCGTAGATGTAGATGTAGTTTGTGGGTTTTGCAGGTGATTATGCTTGTGCTCTATGTTTACAGCGGATACGAGAGTAAGCAGCAGAGGCGAAATGGTTGTTGATTGATATGAGAACGATTCAGTTATATTATTGAATGGAAAACTTGTCTCATTAAAGGTAGTATGTCTTGACATAAATATTTTGTTGGATTGTTTATCAAGACATTTGTACCCTTTATAAGTTTCAGAGTATCCCAAGAACACCGTGGATTTAGTTTTAGGCTGCAGTTTATTGCGAAGGATTGGTGGGAGTAGGGGAAAACATTCGCATCCGAATGTTCTAAGGTGAGTATAATATGGTTTGTGCTTATGTAGAAGTTCAAATGGTGATTTGTTATGAGTTGTAGCAGAGGGCATGCGATTGATCAAATATGTAGCAGTGAGCACTGTGTCTGCCCAGTAGACCGTAGGGACGGATGCAATGAGTAGAAGAGATCTTGTAGTTTCAATAATATGCCTATGCTTTCTTTCCGAGAGCCCGTTCTGCTCAGGTGTGTATGGGCATGACATTTGATGTGCAATCCCGTTTTGTTTGAGAAATGAGATGAGAATGCGATTGTTGTATTCCAAGCCGTCGTCTGTCCGGAAGCATTTGATCTGTTTGGATGTCTGCTTCTCAATGTAATGCTTGAAGTTGATGAAGATGCTGGTAACCTCCGATTTATGTGTCATTGGATAGATCCATGTAAACCTGGAATAGTCATCTACAAAAATAACATAGTAAAGAAAACCTTGGTTTGAAGCAATGGGAGAGGGTCCCCATACGTCAGAGTGAAGTAATTCAAGAATGTCATTGCTTCGATTTGCAGATTTTTCAAATACTAGTTTATGACCTTTAGCTAATTTGCAAGATTTACATTGAGAAGAAAATCTTGAAATTCTAAGTGGCGGGTTACATTGAGATATAACGGATAACACCCTGCTATTAGGGTGGCCTAATCTATTATGCCAAATTTCATATGAAGCTGCTGTGGCGGTGAGGGCTGAGTGTAGAGTGCACGGATGGAAGTTCTTGATTGGGTAGAGGCCGTTATGGCAAGGCCCTTGAAGTAGAATTTCCTGCGTCTGAATGTCCTTAAAAATTAAACCATTAGGATCAAATGTGATAGAAATGTTGTTATCTTTGGTAATTTGAGAAATCGAAATCAAATTGTATTTAATACGCGGAATGTGAAGAATTTGAGACAACTTCAACTTACGATTTGTGGTGGGTAACAAACCTGTACCAGAGTTCGAAATCGGCATTGTCCGACCATCACCGATAATTATGGATTCAGCTCCCTGATAGGGATTGGCAATGGAAAGATTGTCGAGTGAATGCGTTAGATGCGACGAGGCACCCGAGTCAAGAAACCAATCGTTCTCGACTTGGTTTGTTGGTGCTGCCACCATGGCACGTGACGGAGTTGTGGATGTAGCGGGTGTGTAATTAATGTTTAGACAGTGCCAGCATGTAGCGGCATAGTGTCCCCGTTTGAGACAGATCTGGTAGGTCGCGGGAGGATCGGAGGAATTACAGTTGGATGATGAATCGCGAGCAGTGTTTCTTCCTCGATTTCTTTTTCCGCGACCACGGTAGTTGTACAGTGCGAGATTGGGATCAGCCATGTGAGAGGTCCGAGCTGTTTCTGCAGCTATGTTGATCTCTTCGCTCAGTAGAAGAGGATATAATTGGTCAAGGCTAATAGGTGTTATAGCATCATTCTTATAGCCGTCTTGAACGCTTGATAGGTTGCCGGAAGGCCATTTAGGATATACAAGATGATATCCTCGGTATTGAGCACAGATCCGACAGAGGCTATTTGATCTACCAAGTACTTTATATCAACAATATATTGAGTCATGGAGGTTTTCATCGTTATGTGATGAAGATCGTTCTTTAACTGAATCACTTTCGAGCGATTAGAGGATTGAAATCTAAGCTCTAGAGTGGTCCAGATGGCTGAGGTAGAATCAAGATTGATGAGATAAGGTAGGATGGATGGAGAAATAGTTGAACATATAGCCGCGGCGAGGTTCTGATCAGTGAGTGTCCATTGCGCGTAACGAATGTTCGGAACCGTAGTTCCATCCGAACGAGTCAGCGTTGGAAGAGGTGGGGGAACAGAGGGATCAAGATACCTTTCAAATTTGTTTGCGCGGAGAATTTTCGTGATTTGGGATCGCCACATATGGTAATTGTCTGTGGAGAGAGGTGTTGGAACGATGTTCTTTAGGTTACCTATGATGAATTTCAGTGATGGTGGGATGGGAATTTCATCTTGTATCTCTGAGTCTTAATCTTCTTCTTGTTGAGCGACGAATGAACTTGCCATGGCTTCCGTACTTGTTCTCCCCTGCTCTGATACCATGAAGAGATTACAATATCTCTGTGCAGAGTTTCTTTAACCAGAGAACAAGAACTCTAAGAAGAAGATGAGCAATACAAGTAGTGCGAAGATTATTATTCATTGGTTAATAGAATACATCCAACTATGCCTATATATAGCCATAGGTTTTATGAACCCATCAATAAAAGACAGACACGTGTAGAGGAGATATATTAAAGTATTTATTTGTTTATGTTCTCTATTAATGTAGTCTCTACACAACCAGTTTGCTTAGGTTCTATATATTGTTTTTTCTCTTTATGGTTGATTAAGAAGCTTTAGGGCATGTACAACCGAAAATCTCATTTTTCACTCCAAAATGTCGTGAAACTAAAAAATATCGTGATTCATCTCCAATCGAACTCCATTTTGCCCCGTAACAATCGTTCTTTTCTTTCGCAAGTTTCATCGGCAAGTTTGGTATAGAGAGAGACAAAAAAAATGATGTAGATGAATAGTGCAACATCAATATGAATGTCACACTATTCATCCGAGATCAAACAATTATTTGCCGTTCCATTAAAGATGCTCTGAGAGAAAGTCATAAGATCCCCGTCATGTTAATCTTTTCGAAGCAGAAGCCCATACACCCAAATCTGTAGCCCGCGCGAGCATGTCCAATACAAAAGATCCCTCTGTATCACATATTTGATAATTTTTTGTATAATCAAATTAAATCCAATTCGGCTCCACTTAAACTCTTTCGCGGGACATTTTACATCGCTCTCCTCGTTTATCGCCTCTTCCGGTCTTCGCCAGCACTCGATTCGCTAACAGAAGAAAAAAAATCGGATAGAGAAGTTTTTTACGGGCTCTACTTTCGGTATTTATTTCGGACGTCCGATCCTGTAAAGGTTAGGTTTAGGGTTTCTCTGATTCGGGCAGAAATGTCGACGGCGGCGGAGGGGGAGCAGGGACAGATGATGAGGGAGCAGGGACCGCAGGGACAGATGATTAGGGAGCAGGAACAGATGGTGGAGGAGCAGGGACAGATGGTGAGACCTGCAATGAGGAAGCCGGTGTTCGTGAAGGTGGATCAGTTGAAGCCGGGGACGAACGGACACACTCTTTCGGTGAAGGTTCTTGAATCGAAGACCGTGTTACAGAAGAGTCGGGCGGCATCTACCCAGCCCCGACAATCGAAGATTTCCGAATGCATCGTCGGAGATGAGACAGGGACCATCATTTTTACCGCTCGCAACGACCAGGGTTCGTTTTCCTTCCGCCTCTCTCCCCCCCTCTCTCCGTATCTGCTTCTCTTTGATTTGTTTAGGGGCCTGGTTTAGGTTAATTTATGGTTTCTTTGGTGTCTGCTGGATTTGGTTGGGTTCCTTTTAATTTGTTCTTTGTCCGGTGAGAAGAGATTGTAGATGAATTAAAGTGGCAATTAGAATGTTTTTTGGGCTCCTATGGCTATGCATTCAATTATTTTCTCAGCTGGGTTATTTTGAGATGTTCGATTGGAAGATGCCAATGCCTTGGTGTACTCGATGCATGGGGCTCCATTCGTATTATTTTCCCAAGCCTGAAGCTTCCAACGAATCCTGATTAGAGACACACATATGACAGCTTACAAATAAAACAAATAGGTTGTCTTGTTGTATATATTTACATTTCATAATGCTCCATTTGTTGGCTCGTATCAAGGTTATAAGAGGTCATACAAATACATGTGGCACACTAACGAAGAACTGACATGCGGGTGTTTCAATGAGAAGGATGTCTTCACTGCTTTCCACTTGAGCTGGGTTTGTAAACACCGGATGGAAATAGAATGGAATGAGAATGGGTCTGCACCGTTCCTTTTGTTTGCCCAAAATTGGTTAAAAAATGATCCAAACTTAGATATTGAACTTAGTTTTTTTTTATTGTTTTGTGCATATCAGTAGGAAAGGAATTACCTGTATGTATGCGTATTCATGTGCATATTATGAGGTCAATACATATGATAAATATCGGGATAGTGATTTTCTTAAATATGTTTCATATTTTTACCGAGCAAGCAATCAAATATCTACTGGCATGTTTAGGTAAAACAACTCTAAAACAATGTCTTGGAACACCTACCAATGGTTCTTATTCAATATGCGCCATGGAGTTTTTTAATTCTTATCACCGTTCTCTTGAATTGAAAATGTTATTTCGAACAACTAAACAAACAAGGCCAAGCTAGAAAATGCAATTGAATCATATATAGAAGGAAGAGAGGCGATCTCTAATTGAAAATGGAAAGAAAGGAATGGAAAAGGAGATATATAATGTGGAATTATGAGGGATGCAGGGAGGTGTTGAAGGTGTTATAGTGGACGAAGAGTGGAGATTGAAGGTGTTATAGTGGATGAAGAATGGAGATATATAATGTGGTTGTTTAAATTCATTTTTGAGTTCCACAAGAAACTCAAACACTTTTTTCTACAAATTATAAAGCATCATCAGTGCATTTCATCTTGATATCTTTGTAGTATTCTAGTTCTAGCCAATAGACCTTCATGGAGTTATAGTATTTAATGATAAAGAGGTTACATTTGCTTGATTGTTGTGAGCTTCATCTTGATTTTAGAGCTCAGAGTGGATTTTTTAGGTTTTGAGCAAGTCTTTTTGATAACTTCTCAAATGCCTTTTGTGGTTTCTTGGAACATATACGACCCACTAATTTCAGACATAATGTTATTCCATAAATTGTGGCATGACCATGTAATTTGCTTTATCCCAAGTGTAAACTTTTGATTTTTTAGATTAAGAGAAGGATTAACAAATGATTGATTTTCCCTTTCCATTTTTAAATGTCTTTATAATATGAGATCATTTCAGGTAGTTTCTTTCGTTCAAATTATATTGCTTTCTAGCCCATGTAATTCTTCTTTATTATAATTTTCATCATTTATGATGGTCGATTCTTTGGAACAACAACAACAACAAGCGTTTATCCCACTATGGGGTCGGCTACATGAATCCTTTTTCTTCATTGTGTCATGTTAAGAGTCAAATTATCATCGAAATCTAATAAAGAAAGGTCATTTCTATTATTTTTTAACTAAGTCTTTTTAGGTCCACCTCTACCTTTATTAACATAAGTCAAATATAATACATATACTTTCCTAACCGGGTAATCAAAAGGCTGCCATTTTATGTGACCAAATCATCTAAGGTGACTCTCTCTAATCTTATCTTCCACTGGAGCTACTCCAACCTTTTCACGTATATGCTTATTTCGTATCCCATCTCTAAGAGTAAAGCCACTCATCCACCTGAGCATCCTCATCTTTGCAACATTGAACTTAATATTATGCTTCTCTTTCAATGGCCAACATTCTGTACCATAAAGCTTTGAAGGTCTCACTATCATCTTATAGAATTTTCCCTTAAGTTTGTGAGGAACTTTTCTATCACACAACAAGCCCAATGGTTGAAGGTCTCACTATCATCTTATAGAACTTGTAACGTGTGATCATGGGTCCGCTAGTGGGCCACTATGGCTAGTTGACTAGTTGTGTCTCGAGCCTACTAGCATGTGTTCGGGCCCTTACTTTTTTCCTAACCAAGCCTTTTTGAGCATTTTCAGATTAATACTCAATTTTGGCTATTAGGAGTCTCAATAGAGAATCTACAGGTAGTTTTGAGCTATTTTGAAGAAATTAAAATATATTATTTTAGCAATTTTCATCTTGAATGATGTTCAGACTTTATTAAAGGTTGTGATAAGGGGAAATTACTTGATTCACTATCTTAAGGGGGAGGTCCAAGTTGGCGTTCAATGAGTTATCGCACCTTGAAATTTTCTCAAATTTGTGATTTTATATAGCAAAATTTCCAAGATCAGAATTATTCTTGGACTCGCAATTTTTTTTGTCCAAAAATGGGGTGCAAATGAGAAATCAAAATATTTATATGATCAAGCATGAATTTTGTTGCAAATTTCTTATCTCAAAGTACCCAAACATGTGGATCATAAACCTTCATAATAAACTCCAAGGTTATTTAAACTCATTTGTAGATCACTTTGACTCAAAATAGTGATGTTATGCGAGATGTAACCAACAACATCAATAATAACTTAATTCAAGACAAGCGTTGGAAAGTATAATTGAAATTTTGTTTATGCCAGTTAAGGAAGGGGTCAAATCCACTCTAAATTTTGCATAATTATAGTTGAAACGATTAAACTGGATTAATCAAATAAGTCCAAGACCTACTCAATTTCAAGACCATCAAAACATTAAGATGTTCCCTTTAGAAATCTATAAATAGGCCATGCTTTATACATTCGGGAAGAATCTTTTTGGTGGAAATAATTTTCAAGCTTAGAGAATTCCCCAGCTTCAGTCGTCGTTTTGAATCTTAACGACCTTTTTGGGGATTTCACCTGTGCTGACTTACGCCTTTTTTGGCTACCTGATCTTCCCTATAGCCAGAAAGACAACCGCATCGATCACCTGTAAGCACCTACTTCTAGCATTGTTCGTTATCAATGGAAGTTGGTATTGTTCATTGCCTGGCCATCGTTAAATAAATGGTGTCGACATTTTCAGGCAACTAATGCTGACATCCTATATTGCCTATCCATTGTTGCCAGCCATTGATTAATGCCTCTCGCTCGATGCTTTCACTATTTTTTAAGATTCTCGATCTCCTTCATAGTGTAGACTCACAAAATGATGGTCATAATGATGTTCATATTGCGACCTCCATTGTGGTGGACATGTCTTTTATTGCTCGTATAAAATCAAAGAGCCCTAAAACCCACTTTTTATGCAATTTTGCTTCTGCCTTGTGAGTTAAGAGAAGAGATTTCATAATTTTCTTTGGGATAATGAAGTCCATATTTGTTATGTCCCAACAAGTAAATTTTATTCAGATATTCCTATCCTCTTTAATGAAACCTCCCTTCTTCATGTTGATTTTATTTCTTCTTTGCTCAAGCCCAAAAGTGAAAATAGGAAAGTTGCACTTGAAAACCAAATTAGTTTGTTGAAAGCACTCCATGATAGAATGTTATTGTTCATGAAACTATGACATGTCATCATAATGGGGATCATGTCGTCACAATAGATCTGTAGGTAGAGTTGATGGTTTGAGACTAATGACTCTCACCTTAACTTGAGCAGTGCCTTCCTCTCAATGTAAAACCCTTAAGACCAAGCAATTTGTGGTATTGTGAAGTGGGTTCTAAGGGCGTTCTTTAATTTCCACTATATTCATTTATTTCAATGTCCATTTTGGATATATATCAACCAACTTTTGTATATCCCAAAATAAACCCAACCATGTTTATTAATATGCCTCCATAATTTTAATTTGCCCCCCTCCTTTTAAAAGTATTTTTAAATAGGAAATAATTAAAAAAAATTCAAAAGAAATCCAAAAGGGGTTGTTCACTCAAATTTGAATCACAAAATTGAAAGCTCATCAACGTGCAGCCTCTCGTATCCACCCACTCACATCTATAGGCCCATTTTTTTGCCTTATGTAGGCCTTTTAGAGCATTTCAAAACCCCAAAGGTATTTTTTAATGTTCTAGATTTAATTTTGGCTTATTTGAGTCCTAATAGAGCTTTTGAAGGCAAATTTGAGTTACTTTGGGAAAAAATAAATAAACTTTTCAACAAATTTTGTTCTGAATGACGTGCCCATTTGATTGAAGGGTGAAATTACGATCAAGGGGTATTTATTTCATTCATTGCTCTAAGAAGGTTTATGTTTATGTCCAAGGAGAGGTCATGTCTTGGAAATTTCCAAATGTTTATATTACATTTAAAAAATTTCAAGATTTAGAGAATTTTTGGACTTATAGTTTTGACATAAAAAAATATGGTGCAAAGACTCATTAATAAATTTTGTTTTGATCAAGTCCAAAATTTGATGTAAATTTTAGATTTGAAAGCACCAGTGTTTAGGTCAAACTTTTAGAATAAACTTCACGATCATATGAATACCATTTTCACGAAATTTATACTCAAGACTATGCAATTAGGTGAGTTGTACCAAATAGTAATACGAATGGCTTAATTCGAGTCAAAATTAGCCTAAGATAAAGTTCCAAAACATAATTAGAGGCATGCATTTAGTTTGTTTGGATAGATTGGTTGATGAATTCGTAAAAAACAATTAGTTTTGGACGAGAAAAATATCTGTACAAACGAACCAAAACGAACTGAAATGTAGTTAGGTTTGTCCGGTTTGATTTTTAAGAAATCGAATTTTTAACTGAT